CCTTCTGGCCTTAAACTCTGTGATTCTTTTTGCCTCTGGAAAACAGATTTTTTTGGACAACATATGCTGCCATAATTCCCTAAAACATGCTGGAATGGGCTTCAATGGCCATTTTAAATTAATGGGGCCAGATCAGAATACCAGATCCAGGGGTGAAAGTAACTTAAAGGACTTACTGGTACCCCGGAGTCTTGAGCAGGGGGTGGGGCATTGACCTGAAGGGGCGGGGCCTAAACCGGAAAGAGGCGGGCCCTTTAGAGCACCAGGCCCTTTAAATCACCACCCGAGCCCTGCTGCCAGAGCCCCGGGGTAGCAGCGGCCCAGCGCTCCAGCAGTGATTTAAAGGGCCAGGGGCTCCTGGCCGCCGCTACTGCAGCGGAGACCTGGGCCCTTTAAATCGCCAATAGAGCCCCGGGGACTCCCGGCTGCTGCCGCTACCCCGGGACTCAGGGCTCTGGCGGAGATTTAAAGGGCCTGGGACTCTGCTGCAGTAGCGGCAGCTGGGAGCCCCGGCCCTTTAAATCACCGCCAGAGCTGTGCCGCCGCTACCCCAGGGCTCCGGCAGCAGGGCTCAGGCAGCGATTTAAAGGGCCCGGGGCGGTAGCAGCGGCTGGAGCCCTGGGCCCTTTAAATCGCCGCTTCAGCCTCACTGCCGGAGCCCCCTGGGTAGCGGCGGGGACCGGGGTCTCTGGTGGTGATTTAAAGGGCCTGGGGCTCCTGGCTGCCACTACTGCAGGGCTTGGGGCGCTGGCGGAGATTTAAAGGGCCCAGTAGCCCTGGGGTAACTGTGGGGCTCTGACGGCAATTTAAAGGGCCCGGGGCTCCAGCCACTGCCAGGAGCCCCAGGCCCTTTAAATCGCCACTGGGGTTAGCTGGTCTGGTATGGCACGGTGCACCGGCTCTTGCCGGTATGCCGTACCAGCCCGTACTGGCTTACTTTCACCTCTGCCTAGATCTATACAAGGAGGGGAGCTCAGGGTGCAAATCTGCCCTCTTCCACAGGAAAGGAGGACCTCAGTTTCCCTTTGGCATATTCCTTTCCAAACTTGCAGAGCCCTTTTTGTGCAGCCTAGGGTCTGGCTGAGCTGGGAGGAGGAGTGAATGAGACAGGAAGCTGGTGCCAGAACAGATGCAGAGATGCGGGGAGGATCCTTGCAGAGATTTCTTCCCCTGAGCTACCTCCTGTTGCTTTTTCATTGGAGGAGATAACATGGATAATGGTGTGCCCTGCTCCACTGCAGAGTATGTTACTAAGGCTATGGCTACACTAGACAGTTTACAGCAGTGCAGCTACACCACTGTAAGCTCTCTGGGTAGCTGCTCTAAGCCGACCGGAGAGAGCTCTCTCATCAGCTTAATTACTCCAGGCCCCGCGAGCAGCAGAGCTATGTCAGTGGGAGAAGCTCTCCCGCCTACATAATGCGGTCTACACCGGCACTTAAATCATCAGCATAACTTATGTCGCTCAGGGGGTTGGCTAATTCACACCCCTGAGCAACATAACTTACGTCAACTTAAGTTGTGCAGCCTAACTTTCGTATTACTTTAAAAAAAAAAAAAACCTACCACAATAAACCACTACAGTGCACACACAATTCTCCCACAAGGGAGAGGATGAGAGAGAGAGAGCGTGAACCACACATGACAGATGTTAGTCACATCGTTTAAGGCACTACTGGAAGGCATTCAGATACTACAGTGATGAGGGAGATATCAGAACCTGAATTGCAAAGAAGAGAATATGCCCAATTTCCACATGCACCTAGATGATGTGGAGTTGCCAGACACTTTACTGCCCAAGAGACTGGGGCAGCGGGGGGTGTTTTGTTTTTTCTTTACATATTCTGCAGTGAGCTTTAACTGGATTTGAGTCACAAAGAATAATTCCCAGATACTTGTGTTGTTTTTGCTCGCTCTATCCCAACCAAAGCAAAATATGGATCTTTGAACCACAACTGGCTGTTTTTGAATTCAGAGATGCCAGCCACAGGACAACTTGGCAAATGGGACCTCAGTCTCAGTTTGGGACCCCTGGGCATTACTGAAATACAAATAATGAATAATGATATAATTGTGTTATGCTCTATTGTGTTAGGTGGCTGTACAAACACACACTAAGAGACAATCCAGAAAATTGTACAATCTAAATAAACAAGACGGATGAATGATAGGAAGGGAAACAGAAGTACCAAAACCAAAAGTGAAGCAACATCTTCAAAGTCACAAAGCAAGTTGGCGGTAGCGGTAGATGTAGAACCCAGGTCTTCTGAGTCCCAGTCCAGTGCCCTAACCACTAGACACCACTGCCTCTACATTTCATCAGGACCTCACCTGACAATCTGTTACCCATATAGTCTCAAAGTATTTCTGAGTGGATTCACTATCACTGGGTTCACATCAAAATAGAACAGGGTATTTAGCCAATGAATGTGACTGTGGGTATCTGAATATGTACGTGTTACTCTGCTGCTATATAGTTTTCTTTTTGAAAGCAAGACAACCCCAAAATCCTATTGAGACTGCTAGCTTGTTTGATGCCATTCTGGTGTTCATTGTGAGCTGAAAATACATTGAGGGTTACGCATTGTTTTCAAGTTTATGTTTTGTTCAACTAAAACAATCAATTACAAGCCTAACTGGGCTTGCAACAGGGCTGTAATATTTTCAACAGGTGGTGCTGGGGAGCCAAAAAATTGCTTAGGCCCAGAAACACAAAGGTACTTAGGCACCTAAACCACAGATTTAGCACCTAAATCCCAGGTTTGGCTCCACTTCAATCCACAAAATTCTCACCGAACCCTATAGATGCCTAAACTCACCCGGCACCTATATTTTCAGGGTAAAAATTCCCTCTGTGCCTGTTTTCTGCCTCTGGGCATGTGCACTGCTCCCTCCTTCTAGGCATCTGGAACCTATTCCCCACCTAAGTCCCCAAAAATTCCCAAACCAGGGGAAGATAGGCATTTGGCCACCTAATGCATGTGCATTGCTGTAGGCATGCTCAGAAGCACCTACCAGACCAGTAACTTTTAGCCCAATGGTTAGAGCACTTGCCTGGGATGTGAGAGATCCAGGTTCAACTCCCACCTCAACCTGAGAGGAAGAAAGGATTTGAACAAGGGTCTCACATCTCAAGAAAGCACTCTAAACACTGAACTATGGGATATTCTGATGTGGGGCTCCGTCAGTTTCTCCTATTGAAGTTGTTCTACTGTGGATGAATAATGAAAAAGCAACTGGAGCAGGAGGACTGGATGCTGGGTCTCCCACTGCCAGGTGGGGCCCTAACTACTGCACTACAGCGTGAATGTGTGCGTGGGTGTCTCTCTCTCCTCCCTGCCAGTGAACGTTATACTGTGGATAAATACCTAAATAGTCATTGGACCAGAGAGAGAGAGAGAAGCAGAACTAGAAATCTACAATGGAGGGTGAAGGTAGGGATGAGTTGAGACCTTGTTTGCAAATTTTTGGAACTGCTTCAGTCTTTTTTAATTCCCTTATAAAAATCTACTATTGATATCTTAAATCAAACACAAACCAAAGGTTTGCCTGCCATCCTTTTTACAGAGAATGTTTTAACCAGGGCTTGGGAGTGGAGCCCGGAGCTGGAGCATGGACCAGTAGGTTTTTGCCCGGAGCTGGAGCGGAGCCAGAGCGGAGCAATTCAAAAATTTGATTGCTCCAAATCCCTGCTTTTAACAATTTATTTTAGATTTTTTTTTACTTGAACCTTTTTAAAAAATCAGTATTTGCTGAAAAGTGGTGTCATTTCTGATAATGGCATGACCACCCATGTTACAAATGGTACATGTTTACATCTTGTTTTAATACTAGTTCAGTGATCATTAAGAAAAGTACTAGAGACAAGTTTCTGAAGTGGTTCTAAAATCATGCCTGCAATTTAGTATGCACATTTTCACACCTAAGTTTTTGCATAAGCAGAGTACACTTTCAGTTATGCAATTTGTTTTAGTGCACTTTCCCACACATGCCTCTGATGGAAAAGTACAGCTGTTGTCTTCAGATTTAATAAAATACGTCTCTATTTTGTAACATTATTAAACTTTTTATTTATGTATGCATCAATAAAAATGCTATTAAATCTTGCTGAATGTGGGTTTCTTTGAACCAAGATCCTACAAAAGGATCCACACATGGACCTTTATGCCTGCCTCAATTCACATTGAAATTAATAGGTCTATGGGGAAGGTCCTCCTGTCTGGATCCCTTTGTATTACACAGGTCTTGATTTGATGCTTTGAGCCCAGATAAAGAGGGAGAATTTAACTTTTTTTCCCTCCAATAGCTCCTGACTTGAAACAGAGAAGCTCCTTTATACTTTATTTTTATTTTAATTTGAGAATTTTGTAGGTGGGATAAAACTTGGATTAAATTTGCTGTTTACTTAGTCTTTTGGGATTTTTTCCCTTTGTTCCTAAAAACTGTAAAGTATTTCTCAATAGTAAATATGCTCCATTCTCTAATTACTCAATCACATTTGTATAGGTAAAATGCATAAATGCTTACAAACTTTTAAAGTATTTCTTTTTAAAATTAATTATTTTCATTTTACCTCTTAAACTTGCATTTTTATTCCTTTGCTGACCTGCAGATGATGAAGGGACTGGACTGTCAACAAGAACCGGTCTTAGAAGAGAAGCCTTCATCTCTACTCAGCAGTGCAGCAAGTAGGCAGCTGGCCACTAGGATCCCCATTTATCAAAGTCACACTGTGCTCAGATGATTTGGAGACTGCAAGTTGCTCTGAGCACCCCTGCTGTCCCTTAAAGTCCAGCCTGCTGTCAGCACATAAATCTTTCCTGGAAGGCTGCAAAGCTAAGTGAATATATATTTATCTCCAGACTCACCCAATATTTCCCACATGCTGCTAATTATAATAAAAGTGCAAGGCAGAGCAAAAGTGTTCCAGAAAAATCTCTCTCGGTTTGGAATTTCAATGTTTATTTACTAAGTTAAGATAGGGAGCTAGGGTGTCTTACCACATTTTACATATGCATATGCTCTTCTCGCAAACAGTGGTGTATGAAGGAAAGTTCTGGAAACACAGCCAACTTGACAGGCAATCTGGAGAGAAGATTGTAATATTACAGTTCATGTACTATCTAAAAAGCAGCTTTACAGTACATCCAGCATTGTTACACCAAACAAACCTGTCATTATGAACTTAATGATATTCTTGAGCCATCCACATTAGCACCATTGGTCTTTTATTTATTTCAAATTACTGTTCTTATTTACCTCAGCGGGGCTCTGTAAGATTACTCCCCAGACTGCTCAGACTCCTATGGGGATGATTTATGTCATCATTCCAGTGTAACGTTTCCCATAATTGTACTGACTTTAAAAAACATTAGAACCCAAGGGGCTAGACAAGGAGCTATAACATTAGCAGCATGCTCATATAAATCAATTTACTCCCTTGGAGGGGAAAAAATGAAGGAATTTAATGAGATTGCACATGAACTGCAAAGCCAATGTGCAGTTACCATTAAGTGTGTTTAATCAAAAAGTACAGATGTATCACACAGATAAATTCAAAAACAAAAAAAATGCAGGCATCCATTTCTATACAATATTATCTGAACAAAGAGCAAGTGAACTTAGAGCCTACCGTGCCAGAGGATTTTAATGGTCTAATTTTCAGTTTGTTCATCAATTTTATGACTATTTTTACTGCTTGTTACTCACATTGTTTCCTATTTACAAAATCATTTATTATTATTCCTTAAAATATAATTCAATTGCTGTCAAAGCCAGTGGTAAAAAAAAATTATGACTAGCATGGCAAGATTGTTTCCAATTACCTTAGATATAATTTATCCTGCCAATCAAAAATTTCTAGATTGGAAAGACTTTAGGGTGTGCATGAAATCTCAGACATTAATCTAAACATTGTACTTTGACCCATATATTCACATGGAACAGAATTTAATCAACTATTTCACAGAAAAAGTTTCTGCTTTTTCCATGCGATTTTAAACTCAGTCTACTTTAAAAATATTATGAATTAATAAGCTTTGACAAATGGTGGATTCCTGTGCAATTATAACATGCCTTAGAGTATATAAAGCACGAGTTCAAAGACCGAGGGTCAGATCCCAATAAATTCTACGTGTCTCCTGCAAGGGGCTGAGAGGCTGCAATTTCCATCAAAGTAATCAGGAGTTGAGGATTGAGCCCCCGATGACTAATTCTCCCAGAAGCACATTAGTCACCCTTTCCAGAATATCCTATTGCCTTTAGTAAATGGAATTCAGACATCAAAATTAGGAAAGCAGTTACTTGTCTTTATAGGGCTTAATCCTGTGAGGTGGTGACTGTCCTCAATGCCAGCATAACACCTCACAGAAGTGCTCAGGCCTCATAGGATCAAGCCCTTAACTTAAAGGGCATTAGATCAGGTGTGGGCAAACTACAGCCCACGGGCCACAACCGGCCCGCGGGACCGTCCTGCCCGGCCCCTGAGCTCCTGGCCCAGGAGGCTTGCCCCCAGCCCCTCCCCTGCTGTTCCCCCTGCCCCACAGCCTCAGCTCACCCCGCCACCGGCGCAATGCTCTGTGCGGCGGGGCTGTGAGCTCCTGGGGCAGCACAGCTGCAGAGCCCAGCCTGGCCCGATCTCTGTGCTGCATGGTAGCAGCAGTGGTACCGGTGCTCCAGGCAGCGCGTTAAGTGGGCACGGAGCAGGCGGGGTTGGATAGAGGGCAGGGGAGTTCAGAGTGGTGGTCACCCCCGACCACCACCCTGAACTCCACTGCCCTCTATCCAACCCCGCCTGCTCCGTGTGTGGATAGGGGTCAGAGCCGTCGGGGGGGAATAAGGGTTTGAATGGGGGCAGAGGTCCCAGGGGGGCAGTCAGGAAGGAGGGGGGTTGGATGGGGCAGCAGGGAGCAGTCAGGGGACAGGGAGAAGGGGTGGATGGGGCAGAGGTCCCAGGGGGCCGTCATGAATGAGAGGAGGGGTTGGATGGAGCGGCGGGGATCTGGGGGCAGTCAGGGGACAGGGGAGTGTGGACGAGGCAGGGGTCCCGGTGGGGGCCGTCAGGGAACAGGGGGGTTGGATGGGGCAGGAGTCCTGGGGGGGGGGGGGCAGATAGGAGGTGGGGGCCGGGCCACGACC